TCCGGTAGAGATTTTTTTATTGATAAAGGTAGATAATCTTATAAAGAATCTTGTGTTTCATTTTCAAATCTTAGATTTAAAAAGAAAAATTTTTACGAATTCTTAACTCAAAATAATTTGCTAATTTTCGTGATTTTTCCATATTTTGTCAATTTTTGAACTTTAAATGCTTATAAAAAAAAATTGTGACTAAGGATTTTTAATATTTTTCATCTGCCTTTGAAACAACATATTAGGAGCCTTCTATTAAATTTTCAAGCTTTCGCAACCAACAAATAAAATTTTATTGATATTTCTAGAAAAAAAACTAAAAAAAAAATGAAAAATGAAAATGTCCCTAAACAGTTCAAAATAAATCAAAATATTTTGAAAATGTTATCGTGTATAGAAAATGCAAATATAAACAACCAGTGAAAATTTCATGTATCTACGGTCATTTGTTTTAAAGTTACACCAAAAACCAAATTCGATTTTTTGGAAAATCGATTTTGCGTAAAAATTCCCGTTTTTCCTTAATTTTTATGTTGTTTTTCCCGGCGCTTGTGAAAACTACTGGAAAATGTTTACTTTTGACCCCCCAAAGTACCAACTAGATTCACTTTCCTATCAGAAAAGGTACTATTGAAGAAAATCGAAGCACTTTTACTGTCCCAAAACGTGATGACAGACACAAAAATATAAAAATATAAAAATATAAAAATATAAAAAAAAACATACATCATTGTAAAACCAATACATTCATCGCTCCGCTCAGAATCTAAAATATAAATAAAAATATAAAAACATACATCATTGTAAAACCAATACATTCATCGCTCCGCTCAGAATCTAAAACACACATCATTGTAAAACCAATACATTCATCGCTCCGCTCAGAATCTAAAATGATGAGGTACAACTCCTGATTTGCTTCCAAAATATAATTTAATATATATATAAATATAATAAACAACTATTACATGTATCTTATTGAAACGTGTTGAAAGGGAATCAGTAAAATGGACACACTTATACCTAATACCTTAAACACAAAGCACAAATATTTAAATTTTTTTTTCTCTATTATTATTAATTACATTTTAAAAGAACAAAATTTAAAAGCGTACATCTGCAGTAGGTTATAACTGATAAATATTAATTATATAATTAGACAACGATGACAGAGGCACAGAACCGTTGATAATATAATATTTTTTAATAATACATTAATAACATCGAGTATTATTAATGTCATTAAAACCACTTTTACATCATTCACTTAGAATATAATAATATTTAAATATTCCTGTAGAGTGTAGAGTGGTAAAAACAGTTGAGTATTGCAGTCGTAATATTTCTGGTATAGAGCATAATATTATACATATAGAATGGAGGTAATAAAAGCCTAAAAAAATAAGATAAACTTCAATCCAATTTTTTTTTATTTTATCATACATATATATTTTGCTTATACTTATTATTAAATAAATAAAAATATAGGTGCTTATTGTAAAGCATTTCTCGATAATCTTAATTTCATAACTGTATTTGCATATGCTGCATATTTTGAACATTTTTCAATACAGTACCTAATTCAAATCCGAACCTTAAAAATAGGTACTAACAATAACAAACGAATCGGTAAAAAACATATTATAGGTATGAAGTGTGGTCTGAGGACTTTTTTAGCAGCGTCAGGGCTTTGTAATTGGGTGGAAATGTTTGACACGTCCCTTGCGTTGTAGGTACACATTTACCCAAATAATACATATAAATATGTATATATGTTATAATAAACTTAAAGGAGAAGAACAAAACAAACAAACAAAATCAAAATTTATCCCAGCCTTCAAGTGTATATAATTGACCGATTCTTTTGAAAATGGTACAACATTTAAAGGATTAGTAACTCTTTTACATCATAGTACCTACCTATCATGCATGTTTATCGTATATTCAATTGTGATCAATATTTTTCACTAAGTAGGTAGGTACTTAGGTAAATACAATTAGGTAAGTACCTATACTTAGTAAATAAATCAAAACAAATGTTTTAAAAAACTTAAAATATTGCGTTAGACATTTAGTAAACGATTTGCTACGTAGTAATAATTACCTACTATAGGTAATACGATCATATTATACATTGCCACATATCTTTCGGGATAGCTAGAACGCTAAGCTGTCATAGTAATAAAGACAATAATACATCAATAAAATGTGGTGTAATAATGTTGTAAGATGTAAAACATTGTTTCAGGTAACAAATTAAAGGGGTGGTGGTGTGGTGCCGCAAGTCCGTATAGCTGGAACACATTTTTAGAAGGAGTTTAAAACCATATCATATATGTTTATGAAATAAAAAAGTAAAAAGGAAAAAAATTTCCCCCCCCCCAAGAAACTTTTTAGCATAATTTGTTCAGTTTTCAAAAAAAAAAAATTTTAATTGCTCCTTAGGTGTCCAAAAAGTATAGAAAATGGTCGTGAATTCCAATTATTTCTATCATCAATGAAATCGTAGTGGAACACAAGTCTAAAGTAAATGTTGCAATGTTGTAAAGGTTCAAATAATGTCGGCAAATCCATATAAGAGGGGGGCCTCGTACAAAATTCAGTATTCAGTAGCATAATATTACGAAATGGCTGTTTTTATTAACCTAACCTACCAAGTACCAAATAAAAATGTTAAATGATAATTATTGCAATGTGCAATATCATATGTAGGTATTTAATTTTTTATAGATGGGATCCCGTCGGCATTAGCTGATAAAAAAACCGTTAAATCCGCCACTGAACAACATTTTTTTTGGTTCCATCCACCGAATCTCTTGAATTATTACAGTCAATAGTCCAAAGGTTTCCTTCAAATATGCATATTATACAGTGGTGTGGCGTGGGTATTAAAAAGATGTAAGCAGTGAAATTTTTTTTCAAAAGTGATTAGAATATAGGTACTATACCTGAATACATAATTATAAATTATGTATAAAAAAATGTAATAAAGAGAAAATAAAGAAATTGAAGTATAAATACTTCAAAATTCTATTAGGCGAATGACAGTGACAGTGTACGTAAAAACGACTATACAGTTTACAACGCGTCGCTCCTTGTTTCTCGAGTAAGCAAAATCAAATGTGCTTACAAACCACTACCAGCTATAACTTAAATATTTTATAAATAAAATTAAAATTTTAAAAATCATTTATTATGTACCTACATATTAGTCGTGATTGATCAAATTTATTTTTTCTTTCATTTAAAGTGTAAGCAATGCTTACAGTGCTTACATGCAGGCTACGCCCCTGATATTATACTCAATAGTTAATTATATATTTTATTATTTTAAAAGGATTAGAGGCCGATAGACCTATTATGTTAGGTATACCTATGGGCGCTGTATAGTGTTGGCCTTATTGACCTACATCAGAGGTTCCTAATTCCTAAACTGTGGATCACGTTAAATTTTGAAATATTTATATATTCTTTCATAATACAAAATATTTAATACCTACTAGAGATGTGAGTGCTGTAAATTTACCAGGTTATTTATACCCAAAAACATTTTGTGTGACCCCTCCAATCAAATGCAATCAATAATGCCTATCCCGAATAAATTGTAGTAGGATCCCTAATTTTTTCAAGTAAGACATATATTATACAGTATTTTTCGTGTAACTATAGGTACCTATATCAATTTTACGATTAGATCGTAGATACCAAATTTATGTTCGAATTTAGTTGTATCATTGGTCATTCCCTGCAACTAGACTATAAAAGTTATCGCAAAAATAGCGATCAACACTGAAATAAATAAAAAAAGGTCATAAGTATGTTGTGGTCTTGTGGATCTCCAAAATTTAAACCATTTCCAAAATGGATCGTACCTACCGAGAAAAGTTTGGGAACCTTTGGACTTTGATAGTCTGAATGTCTTATTTACATAGTGATATGTAGACATGTAGACATGCGTTGAATGTAGTATGTATATAATATTTATTAATTATTACAATAATTCTATCATAATGTTTACGTCATCGAAAATTAATAGGTATTCTGAATTCACTAAATATTATGATCATTACACTATTGCAGCCATGCATGTTTCTAAACGCGAGTGCTGTAGTACAAAATTCAATATTTTATATTTAGGCTCTAACGTTCTATATTTTATAAAATAAGTGAAGTTTAATTTTGAAGATTACCTATAAAAATGTTAAATGTTTATGTTCCAAAATAATACAGTAATACTCAAAAATCAGAATTTGACATTTTCATACATTTTGAACACACAGTACATACCTACCTACTATATTTATATAGATTATATTATATATGTATGTACATAGGCACCTACATAGTGATTTACGTAGGTAGGTATTATTACCTATAGTTAATAGACAAATTAAACTAAAGTCTATTTTTATGGGGGCTTCTTTTCCTATGGCATTTTGTACCATATTAATTTTCAGTTATATTTTTCGAATACCTACCAAAAATTAAAAAAAAAAATAACATTAATAATTAATAAGTATTCAATGGAATCGACGAAAAATAGTGCCAAGTATAAAAATCAATAAATATCTATTTAATGCTAAACGCTTTAAAAATTAGGAAAATAGACACAAATATTTCTACAATTTATTGTTAAACTATATGAAAATGAATAATGTTCAAAATCTTTTAATTTATCTGAAGCTCAACTAACCTGAACATCCTGAACGATAATCTACTAAGTACAAAGTACCTACAGATAATCCATATCTTAAAAGTACACAGTTTTGAAACAAGTTCATAATCATTATAACCTTGATATTAATCAAATGATTAGTGATTACAAGTATACATAGATACCCGGCCTGCAGTGCTGCTACAATGCTACATTTCTTGTCTACATTTATCTAACAAAACTTGAATAAATTAGTCGTTACTCGTTAACCTGTGGTCGTCACTGACAGGTTATTAATTTTACATAAAAATCTTTAAATCTTTAATCTTTAATCTTTCATTAATTTTTAGTTAACATGGCCAATGCAAGTATAAACAACGAAAAGGATAATTTAACATCAGTACTCTATGGTGTTAGAGATTTACGACTTGTTAGTATAATTATCAATTGTATTTCCTATTTACAGAGTTTTTTTATTTGTTTGATCGGTTTTAATCTTTTTTTTTTCTGTTAGGAGCAACGGCCGATACCAAAACCTGGTCATAATGGTAAGTATAAAAACTAAAATAATTTGTTGCTAAATATTTAATTGTAAATTAATTTTGTAGAAGTATTATTGAAGATTCAACGTGTAGGAATATGTGGTTCGGATGTTCATTATTTAGTACATGGAGCTATAGGTCACTATATTGTTAAAGAGCCAATGGTTATTGGTCATGAAGCCAGTGGAATTGTAGTGAAGCTTGGAGAAGGTGTAAAAAGTCTCAAAGTTGGTTAGTATAAAATATAAATTAAATAAATAGGGATAATTTCCAAACATGTTTGTATGTGGTATGCCTTCATTAAAGGTGATAGAGTGGCAATTGAACCAGGTGTATCATGTCGCATGTGCCAGTTTTGCAAGGTTGGCTCATACAATTTATGTCCAGATATGAAATTTTGTGCTACACCACCTGTTGATGGAAATTTGACTCGTTATTATGTCCACGCTGCTGATTTTTGTTATAAGTAAGATTTTTTTATTGAAATATTGAAATTTTTTACTTAAAGTGCATAATTTGTTATAAATTAATAGCTAGTTATTAAACATTTAACAACCAAGACATTATCTTCATATAAAATATTGGTTTGGTTAGTTGTATTTATAGTTAATTTCAGTGGCTAAGTTGGTCATAGTTGTGGGGGGGGATGAAATGTATGTACTTTCAGCAATTACCCACCCCCCTCAACATTTTTTTTTTCATATAAGTAATAAGCACCTCTCAATACAAGTATACAACCATTATGATCTGTATGTAATATTTTATACACTATAGGTACATTAAAATAAATAACAACATACTATTTAGATATTCACATTTAGGTACACTAAAACATTAACTTTAACCTAGGTCCTAGATACTAGATACAGTTACATCACAAATGACAATAAAATATCCACTGTACGTGGTCTTATTGCTAATTCATTAAGCACTTTAAGCAGCGGATTAGCGGAGTACAGCTCATAGAGCCGATTATAACAATATTACCAAATGAGAACATGGTAACAGACTAACGGAGGTCGGAGTCCGGAGAGTCGTTGCGATTGGGAATATTCCGATAAACCGATAATGTGGAATATCCATCACTTATTTTTAGAGGGTATAATATTGTTTGATAATATTGATGGATGATTATATAATATTATGGAGATTTGTGGGATTTTTCTATTATCTAAAAAATTACATTAATAAAATTAGTACATAAATGCGTTTGACGATTAAAAAAAAAAAAAACGGTTATGTGGGGGGGGATACGACACCCAAATCACCCCCGTAATTAAGCCACTGATTAATTCCTAACGGTTATGTTGTATAATTAAAATATTAATTTATAAATTAAATTTGACTAATTATTATTCATTCATATAAATTATATGTTTATGTTTTAGATTACCAGATCATATATCTCTAGAAGAAGGTGCTCTATTAGAACCACTTTCTGTTGGAGTCCATGCTTGCAAAAGGGGAGGTGTTAAAGTTGGTTCTACAGTATTAATTTTAGGAGCTGGACCAATTGGTTTGGTTACATTGGTCACCGCAAAAGCTATGGGGGCTACTAAAATTTATATAACAGATCTAACAGAATTCCGATTAGGTGTAGCTAAAGAAATGGGAGCTTACAAAGCAATCAAAGTAAATAGAGGAGATTCAGATGAACAAGCAATAGAAAATGTAAGAAATGAGATGGACAACGAACTTCCAGATGTTACTATTGACTGCAGTGGTTTCCAACAAACAATTAAAATGGGAATGGAGGTAAACATTAAAATATTATATTATATAATTGTTGTAATCCGAGTATGCAACCGATGACATTTTTATTAACATTAGCATTATACACGTAGTTGCATCAGTGTATACAATATAATAGCAGCTAGCTGATCCTGCACAGTGTTGTCTGTCACAAACTAAATGCGAGGAACTTACATGTACTTAAACTCTATTAAGAGGACGCTTCACAAATGCGTAACCCAGACAATTTAAGCTTAGCAGAACACGTTTAAAAATTAGAGTGAATCAACCTATTATGAAAGTTACTGGTAAGAACATTACCTATGTTTGTATGTGGATTTTTTTTATGGTAATTCAGTTTTTTTTAGTGAGTTATGAGCATTTTTAACGTAAACTACATTATATATACAAACTTGTTAAAAAACCCACATGAGAACACGAATAATGTTCTTAGTTCTTACCATCAAGTATAGGTCGATTCACTCTAATTTTTAATTTAATATGGTCTGCTGAGCGTAAATTTGTTGGTACGCACTTGTAAGACTGAGACAACAAATGTCTGTGTAGCATCTTCTTAAATGTTAGCTGCACGATTACCGCAGTTATTTAGGTTGTTTTGACCAAATTTTTAAGTATAAAATACAGGTCTAAAATAGTATCCAATTATAATAACTAATTTAATTTCTGTAATCAATGGCAACCCTGTACAAACAAACAAATATTAGTTTTTTGTGAGCCAACAATTCCCTGTGTAAACCCCTCTTTAAAATTTAAATAAAAAAATTTGTTTTCAAGGTGCAAATCATTCAGTATATGATTATCTATGTACCACAATTCAGAACTGCAATGCTATACATTAGGCTGTGGATCGTTTACACACACACAAATATTATCTGTTATTGATATATTGTTGTATATTTGATAAACAAATAAGATATTATATTTTAGCTGACAAAATCTGGAGGAGTATTAACAATTGTTGGAATGGGAGCAGCAGGCAATGTTCAATTACCATTATTCAATGCAATATCTCGAGAAGTAGACATCAGAGGAGTTTTCCGCTATGCCAATGAGTATAATATTATCAATAGACAAATAGTTTAGTTTTATAATTTGTATTAATGACTATTATTTCGTTTTAGTTACCAAGATGCATTGGCTTTAATATCCTCAGGACAAATAAACATGAAACCACTAATCACTCATAATTTTAAAATTGAAGAATCGTTGGAAGCTTTTAAAACTGCTGAGACTGGGGTTGGTAATGCAATTAAAGTTATGATACACTGTAATTAGGACATTTACAATAAACTAATAATTATTCTGTAGTTAAAAAAAAAAATATTAAAGAATACTAATTATATATTTTTTAAATGTTTAATTTTATTGAGGTAAAGTGTACTTATTCTGTAATGCAATTATGTACTACTTAATTAATTCACAATATTTTTTTAATATCAATGGATTTGTTAAAATGTGTTTAATAAAAACTACAAATTGACATGAAAATACTTAAATTATTGCAGTACAAAATATTTAAAAAATATTATTGATAGGGTACTCTATAAAATATAGGATCAATGGCACTCATAAATATAGATTTTAGTATAAAGACTGTCTATAACAAGAAGCTAACCTATTCACTTACAACTTAATCTTTCAGTTACAAAACGTTAAGTATTTACAACATGTCATTAAATATTTATATAACTTTATAAAATATAAATTGTATATTTCAGTTGAGAGGACGTTGTACCCTGCGTAGTCTCCATAGGCCATAACTAGACCTCTAAGACGTGGGGTGCTATAATATTTCATATTTAAAAACATAAGTTTGATAGTTATTTCACTATAATAATGGGTTAAACTTAAAAAAACAAGGGGTGCTAAAGACTCTTTTACACCCCCCTAGTTGCGCCAATGGTTGTGTCCATCTTGTATGTACGTATGTATGTTCAGCAGTTCTAATTTTGTGTGGTTAGCTTAAATATTAAAGCGAATAATGTACCTATTATCAAACTTAAAGGAAAGAGCCTTAACCGTGTTCTCTCGTTGGATTTTAACAATATTTTAATTTTTAAGTGAATTATGACCATGTAAATCATTAATATTTAAAAATCCTCATAATTCACTTAAAAATTAAAATATCGTAAAAAACCAACGAGAGAACATAATACATAATGTTTGTAGACAATACCTATGTTGAGTGCAAAATATTCACTATTATATTTTACTTTTAAGAAATAAAATAAATATTTTTATATTTAATTTCAATTTAACTTAGAATTTTTCCAACAGTGTTTAACTTTTGTCTTGCCATTTAAGACTCAGCATTTAACAAGCATACCTAACTATTTTTAAATGTATTTTAGTAATTAATTTACATTATAATCATTAGTTTTAGGACAAGTAAATTTGATATTATATTATATTATTAAGCCATTAAAAGATTTTAGAATAACTGCAATTGATATTATTCAATGTATGATGCATTTAAAGAATTATAGAGGTTTTTAGTTTTATCATACCTCCCAATTTATTTTCAATATACCGTACAATATATTGTCGCTGACAAAGATATTATTCAAATTAACTAGTTACAGTTAAACAAGCAAGCTATATCAATAATGATATTTTTATTCTGTACAAGACTATTTTATTTATTAATTTATTCAGAGACAACAGAAATAAAACAAAAAAATAAGTAATTTCTACAACAATTATTCAAAATAAATATTAACATATTATCTAAACTGATAGTTGATACTATTAAAAACTATATTATCTTAAAAATTAAAATCTCACTCATTATTTGTCACATGTTCTTCACCTTTGATTTTACATTTTCACAGGTAATTAATTAAATCACATTTTATTCACCTTTGTTTTTTACATTTTTACAGGTATTTAATTAAATTATTTTATCAACACAATACATTTATGGTAGCTATTAAACTTAAAGTAATTTTATAGGAATGCATAACGCTGTTTGAAGCCACAAAACATGTTTTTTAACATATAACTCATTACTGTTTAATAATTTAGTAGAAACTCTCCTTTCATTTTTCATTAATGCTTCTTTAATACAGTCAATTTTATAAATATTTACTAATAAATAACATAAAAACCTACGGTGATTCCATAGAGATTCATGACTATGATACATCACAATCAGATCTTCATTAAAATATAATTCATCTAAAGCAACACCAATAGCTTCACCAAAATAGTCTTCTGATGGCCTCATAAGTTTATGCCTTTCATCAGAGTTAAAAAATCGCAAAAGGGACTTGGATGTACAACACTCCAGATGTTGTAAGCACCTTTTATCAGCAACTAAACATTTAAGCAGCCGTTGTCTGTATTGCATACAACTATGGTCTGATATATGTTCACTGCACCAAACTTTAGTTTTTTCCCACTGATGAGAGATCAAGGAAAAGTTCTCATGTTCAAGTGATTTTTGAATAAACCAAAAACAATGATTCCATGCATTGTAATTACTTGGATAGCCAGCGGCAGCTGTTAATCCTACTGCCAACTCATTGAGTACAATATCATTACAGCTAAAATCTAAATATATATATATAAAAAATAATTTAAAAAAATTAATAAACAATTTTGTCCAAGATAAACTACCACTTGTATAATTATGATTTAATTTTAATTTAGATACACAGGTTAGGTTAGGTTCCTTAAAGGACATCACAACACTAAAAACAAGTTTGCTTAGATTTAAAGTATGTCATTGTCTAAGAAATATGGTGTGGGTCTCACCCTTCAACACAAATTATTCAATGAGATACAGGCGTTTGAAAATATGTGTGTGACGTCATAGAGCCGAAATCTGAACGCAGCGTATGTTTTACATGTAAAAGTGTCTAGATTTTCACAACAATTTCAATCGTTAAAGATAATATTTTTTAAATTTTTATTATGTAACCTTAAGTGTTTTATTTTTGTGTTTATGACACTGGTGTGATTAGAGTTTGGATATGCTTTTAAGTATTTTTATAGTAGATAAAACTATTATAGTAAATTTCATAAGAATGTATTTATATAGCAATACAACGGGAGTCACAAACTTAATAATTTTACTAAATTATAACTAAGGTATAATATATTAATATGTATACAATAACAAGATATATTAAATTTTAAATCACGCCATCATCTTAAGCACATAAATATACTTAAGATAAAGAAAAACAATTCTGAAAATATACTAAATTATTGTGTAAATCAAACTACTTTTACACGTAAAACATGGGCGGCTGATCACTCTTAGGCTCTATGACGTCACGCGGCTTTCATCAACTTTCATTATATTGCTGAAGAATCATTTTTTTAACTTCGGATTTTTACTAAAATATTTTTCATTTTTTGGACTACAATAATTCACCAATAAACTTAAAATTAAAAAAAAAAAAATTGTATTGTCCCTTAAGGCTGGTTAGGCTATTCCAACAAATACCATGCAATATATATATTATTATCACATTGACTACCTATTTATTATGATTTATGAATAATGCCAAAAAACATTAGGCTATATATTAATAAAAAGTATTTAAGTTTTATAAATAATGCTCAATGCAAATTAAGCAAAGTAATAATAGGGTTCAAACTTAATTGCAAACTTATTTTTCAGCACTTGGATTAATCATAATATACTACATTGGCTATGTAAAACTTAGATGGAAAAATGTAGATCCTAATCTTTTCTTGTGGCGCATACATTTAACAAATATGAAATACCCATGCTAGTCTGATTTTAGAATTTCTTGCCCTTTAGATGTATGTTGTCCTAACTTGTAAATGGCTTGATTTACTGTAATAAATTACTAAAATCAGTATATTTTAATTTTCTTCAATACCTTTTGCACCCAGTGGCATTGATAGGATTTTTCTTTTTTTTGGGGTGAGGGCTGATAATGTAGGATAAAAACCCCACTGGATATGCCACCGATTGTACCATTGTATTATATTCTCAAATTCAGCCAACTAATTCTTATAGTTATTATTATTTTATTGATTGTATTCCCTGAGAACGTAATGGCCAATGGGCTAAAATTGTTTGATTTATTTGACACAAAAGTTTTGTATATCTCGAATGAATGTTTCTCAAGCTCATAATTTACATTTAATTATCTAACATATATGGGTAATTTAACATGATTTTTTTAATTTTAATTGTAAATATATTTTGTACTTGGATTATATTAAAATAAATTATACTATGTACTGTGCATGAGCCTTACATGGGCGTTTACATTAATAAATTAATTTAATAATGCACCATTTCTTAATTTTTGATGATAATCATTTATCGTTTCACAATTGCTTACATTTAAAATATTAAAATATTGCATTATAAGTGCTTATCTACTTATGTATCATGATGCCAATCCTTAAATAAATTATTTAAATTTTATTAAAAGAACATTTTATGTAGGTAATACAAAGAATGTGTATAATTAAATTTAAGATTTGTACGTATTAGTTATATTTTAATAAAATTGAATATTAACTGAGAAAGTTTAAAGAATTATATTTATTTCTAATAAATAATAATTAATAGGTACCTATGTACCTATATTTAGGTATTTACCTTTTAAAATGTTAAAGAATATCCATCTTCTGTAGGTGAATATTTCAGCACATTTTGGTTTAAATGTCAAAACAACAGCTGAAAATTGTAATTCATCATCTGGCTTCAAATATCCATCAAGAATTAACTCTCGTCTCATATTCCAAAATGTTAGCACTTCAGGATTTAACAAGAGAGCAGATGTTAGCAATGTTATTGTTTCGTTGGACACTATATAAAATATAATACATATTTATAGAAAACACATACAAATTTTAAATAATCAATATTAAGCAGTAAGTTTATAAAAAATTGTTTGGTTAATGAAATTGTTACCTTGTCTTTTTAATCGTTTTCTTACAGAAACAAGTTTTTGGTAGACATATTCATACACATGGCGTACACACCACGACTCTAGACCTAAACAATGATCTATGTATATCACTGGAGATTTATTTTGACTCTCTGGTTGGATGACTAGATCAAATTCTTTCCTAAAATATTATGCGGTAACTGGTAAAGTGGTAATTTTCAAGTCATTTCTACACTACAAAAAAAACGAATTGGTTTATACTCACAGATTAGGATCACTATTGACTATACATTGAATTTCGGTAATGATGCGCTTAGCTGCTGGGAAATTATCATCTGAGTCCATAATTTTAATTATGCGACGTTATAAGCACATATTATTATATAAATTTTAAAATGTATGTTTATGAATAAAACCAAATTTGAAATAGGTAGGCAGTTCAATAAAAATGGTAATGATTAATAGCACTATAACAATAACGAAGTAATGTAGAGAACAGAATAAAGACTCAGACATTTAGATTTTGAGAAGTCTGTTTTTTATACGCCTTTTTTAATATCATCAATTTAATAAAATATCACTTTGACATTTTGTTTGTTAACAGTCTGTTGCATAGATAAGTATATAAGTCTGTTGACTGAGACCAGGGTATAGACACTCTGTGTATTGGCAAAATCGGTTGACTGTGGCCTTGAGCACGGTCTCTAAGGAGGAGTGGCATATGTTATCATTTAAATAAATTATATCAATATTATCAGTCCACAGAATAATAATACAATATATTATTTCATTAACAATAAACCAATGTAAAATTACATTATAGTTTTAAATTTATATTAAAACAAAATCCTTATTCATTTTACCAAAATTTAATATTGATATACTTAAAATATGAAAAATAAATTATTTATCGTTATTAATCGTTTATAAAAATTCCGTAACAAAGAAGGATACACGTTGCTAACGTTCTATCAGATTACGGATACGGTACAACTTTTATAGTCCAATACATCATACCGTAGGGATACGTAAACCCTCACAGCTGATCGAGGGTCTATTCTATATTGTTCTGTGCTGAGACTGTGGCACGGCAGCCGCAGCTGGTGCTGGCTGTTGGCTGTAGATAGTAGAATGTAGATAATACAAATAAATGAGAATGGAATAATAACAAAAATACAGTTTGATAAATGATAAATAATACACCTTAAATAATCACACAAGACTCTACATAATATAGTACCCTAACAAGACATGACAATTGACAATACATATCGCTATCTAGACGTCAATACAGTTTTAATCGTTTGTACGGAATATAATAAATTCATAAATTACGTTAAGTTTTTAGGTTATAATAAAATAATAATTCGAAAGCCAAATTTCTATAACAACCCATGCGAAAATAAATAAATAACTGTCATGTAACAACCGAAGCAGTAAGTACTAACAAATACATTTTCGTTTTTGAGTTATTACTTCTTATATTTATCGATTGTTATTTCCTTGTACAGTTGTATAATATTTTGTCGAGTTTTTTGTGTTGCTTTTACCAGTCGTAACGGTAACATTAAAGGTAATAACTCTCTCGTATATTTTATAAAATCTTTACGTAAAAGACAGTAATGGCTGATCCTCGTATTAAGACATTAAAGATCAAAACTGGAGTAGTGAAAAGATTAACAAAAGAGAAACTTATGTATATACAAGAAACAGATCAACAACAGGAAAAGGTTGAGAAATTGAGAAAGGCTGGTGAGTTAAATGACAATTATTTTATTTTTTTTATTTGATTCTAACCTTAGTACTATTGAATACATAGTTTTTATGATCTATGGTACTGTATTATTTAATGTGTATACTGTATACTTTGAGCTTTTTGAAGAATAATTACTAATAAACTAATACCTGCTCCATACCTACATATTTTTAAAAAAAGGTACCGTATGTAATTTTAAGATAATATTAAAATTGTTATGAGGTATTAGCCCGTAAGTGGTACGACATTTTAAGAAGTAAACCAAAACAAAAACTGCAGCGGTCTATGGGACCAGACCATACCACTTACGGGTTAAACAAAAAGTTTACCGTGTACAATGCATATATTATTGAGAAATTAATTTTATTAGGTATTTAAAACCTAGGTACGGTGAAGATTAAAATTGCAAGAAAAATTAAAATGAAATAATTCTCTATAGGTTTGTTATTTTCCCAGTAGGTATACCTACATTTCTAATCCAAACACTATTTCTGACTTCCAATGTAGATATCTAACTGAATATTTAAATGGTATTAATCAGTGTTAGCCTAGCCATGGCGGTAATTGTGAATGCAACCAGGGCCCCTCAGTTTTTTTTTAGGGTCTGGTAAATTTTTTATTTGTTTGGCGTATTTCTTCCTTTCCTGGTCTATGTAGGAACTATGGACTCTGTAAAGTATTTATCAAAATATTTAACCTTACGTAATTTTTAGGCTCAATTTTTCTTTACAGGGCCTAATGCTGTTATGGAGCCCCTTAAAAAACTAATCCACGGGTCTCTGGTGTGCAAGGAACTTATATTAGGACTTACTATTTAAAGATTATTAAAATACCATTAAAATAATTTTTCCAGTTCTTAAGAAATGCAAAATATATAATCACATATTATTTTATAGTTAACGATTTTTGTACATAAGTTATGAATTTAAGTGTATGTTTTTATTGTGATAGAGCAAAATTTATACTGTTAAATATATAACTTTATTTTTATAGGAATTGACGAGAGTACTCTTAAGAAGCAAGAAGAAGTTCTAAGGGAGTCACAGATGATGATACCAGATACTCAGAGAAGATTAAAAGCTGCATTTGAAGATTTGAAAAGTGTTGTAGCTGATTGTGAAGAGCTAAAAGAAGAACCAGATTATTTGAACGCTCGAAAGTTTTTAGCTGAGGCTGAAAAAGAAATGAATTAATTCGTTTCTATAATTTAACTATTTTATACATTTAAAACACTAACATTTTTTTTCCTTAATTAAAAAACTATTATTCAAACTTTTTTTATTATCTTTAAGATGTCAGAACAAAATATTCATAACAACATATACTCTGAGGCGAACGCTAACAATTTCTGGTTAACACGTCCTCCACCTCCTTTTATGCCGCCCCCACCTATTCAACCAATGTATAATTTAGATTATAAAATGCCTTTAATTTCCCCACATCTATTTCCATGTAATAAACCAGCACAAAACTATTATATGCCTTATGATGGAAATATTAGTAATCAATACTATCAAGACCAATATGTGCCATCTAATCAGAATATAAGCAATTCATTTTCATCTCTTCCGGACAATATTGATGAAGAATACATCCTTCAATATGTTTGTCCTATACCAAAACCTTTAAAAGATGATACTAGTATTTGGATTGAAAAGTGGTTAGCCAGCAAAGAAAAAGATATTACAATTAAGAATGTAAAATCAACAAATTTAATAGAGGTAAATTCCAAAAACAGTTATTATATTTGTTTGATATTTAATAATTAATAATTCAAATTTATTTTTAGATTAACCAAATCAGCAATAATGTAAAAGAATGTAAACAATTATTAGAAAACATGGGTAAGAAAAAAAAAATGATGGAACAGAATGTATCAACTATGACAGAAGCTGAATGGATAAAAGCTTGTTCGGATTTAATCTCAGATAAAGTGAATAATATATAAATAATAGTATAATGATTGAAAATAAAATAAATTACAATGTACTTTATTTTGTAGAAACACATAGATACAATAATAACAACATTACCTTTTGATACTGATTCAATGTCTGAATTAAAATTTCGATTAGCCAAAAGAAGAAAAAAAAGGGAAAGATTAAGGAGATTTAAATCCAACCTAAAAATTATTAAATCCCAACAAAAAGATGAAATAAGAGAAATAAACAGAAAGATTGATGCTTGGCAAAATACCTTAAAGGAAAATATATTAAAAGAAAAAAGAGTAATATTTTTCAATCATTTATTTGTTGTTTTAACTTGTAATAAATTGTTATTTTATTTTAGGTTAACAAAACTAAAACCGAAGCTAACATTGTCTTGAAAGGAGTTAGAGGAAAAATTGAAGATGCTAAAAATCAGATATCATTGTGTGATAATTTAGAAAAATTAAGAAAATATAGACTTCAAAACTGTGTTAACAAAAGAAAAAATCCACTTTTAGAAAATTCCTTAAGTATATTATTATAAAATAAATTGATGTATATTATTCTTGTGAAATTTATACTCAATATTATTTGTTATAGATAAATTAAAAAAACTTTGGCAGCAGAAATTAACAGACTACAATAAAGAAGAAGAAGAATTGAAAAATATGCTTATTGAAGCTGAAGCAAAAAAACATGAAAAACGAGAAGTCGAAATTCAAGAAAAGTTTGCAGAATGGGATCAAATACTTTTTGGTCCAAATTTTAAGTCTCATGAAATGGTGTTTGATAATCATACATTCCTTGAAATACGGTATTATTAATATTTAATACTAAATATTCATATAATTATTTATTAATTTATTATAGGAGAGGCTGGGATAAATATGTTGTCGATGAAAATGAAATATCATCATCTAGCAGTATTCCTTTAGGTTGGATTTTACCATTAGTACCTTGTAATACTGATTGGGCTAAATATTCCAATAAAGCTAATATAATGTAATAATAATTGTAATAAATAATGCACTTATAAATTAAAAAACAAAAAAATATTATTTTTTATTATCTGTTGTGTATATATATTTTTTTTTTTTTATAACATTTTATCATTTTAGCTAAGCCAAAATTGTATGTTTACTTGCCAAGTATGCTAACCCTTATTTTTGCTATAATAATGAAATTATTCAAATGTGTCACCAAACATTCTGGCCCCTGCATCATTGCTTATTTTCAAACTTCTATCAAAAATAAAAGAATTTCAATTAATTAGATTATCACTTGTTGCCTAATTATATTATTATAAAACGATGATATTTTTTTTAGGTTTCTATACTGTTACTTTATTGGAATGAAATCTTTTCAAATTAAAATATCTTAAACTAAAAAAAATTAATCGAATAAAATGGATGTTAATTTTTTTCCGAATTTACATTCAAGGGCAAGTTATTTATATTAAGAGTTTTTGGGAAGTTATTTTTTGTAATGAGCAGAAGTATAGTATAGGTATATTTGAAAATACTGGCATACCCTACAAAAAAAGTCTATGCTCGACTACGGTTATTGGATGGTGCCAAAGTGGTGAATGAAAATTTGAATAAATAAAAGCATGATTATATCTGATTACATATTGGTGATGCCTAATAGCCAGAGAAAATAATATAGGCATAGGCGCCAAGTACATGGGTGCTCGAGCACCCATTGAAAATATTTATTGGGTGCAAAGCACCCAATGGCCAATATATTAATTATAATAGGTAAATCGTAATATCTGAACTGTTTTTGGGTTTTTTTCAATCTGAATCAACCTATGCACTAACTTTATTCACCTTAGTATCTAATATTTTAACAAAATTCAATCTAATATTATCAGTGTCGTGGTCAGTGTTATGATGGTGCTGCAAATGTAAGCGGTCATATCAGTGGTCTCCAAAAAAGAATTTTAGATATTGAAAAACGTGCTATATATGTTCACTGTGTAGCACATACTTTAAACCTTGTGGTCCAAGATGGTATGATGAGTGTAGATAGATCTCGAGATTTTTTAGCAATGATAAGATCTATTATAGTGTTTGTACGCTATTCTCCCAAAAGACAGGCAATTTTCAATGCTCTACGAAGTGACCAAGAATTAAATTCTCAATCACTTCGTCCATTCTGTCCAACCAGATGGTGTATGCGAGTAGTCTTTAAAAACATTATACTACAATTATGCAATTTTAATAAAGTTTTTAGATAATATATCAAAATATAGGTCAGAGAATGGTGCCAAAGCAAGTGGTTTTCTCAAACAATTGCACAAATATGAATTTTTATTTTATACTAAAGTAATGATTAATATTTTTGAGAGGGTTGAAGTCCTCAATGTAGAACTTCCATGAAATAAAAATTTTAATTGTTTAAAATGTTACTAAAAACTTTTATTTTATTATATACTCGGACACTCGGTATTCATTAAAAATTGTATAAAATATTATATTGTAATTTGTAAATATGTTTTGTAACCAGTTTGTAGAAAATTTAGTATAGAGTGTGAGGGGGGAAAGCCCCTCACTAATACTTGACGTCAGTGGCACACAGGATTTTTTTCGGGGGGAGGGGTGTTATTCTATTAATAATTTACTATAGAGATAAATATTGTATAGCCCTAACATTATACTAGGCCTCGGAGAAATTTCGAGGGGGGGTGAAACCCCTTAATCCCCACCACAACCCTGCGTGCACCGCTGCTTGACATTGGTAAGAGCACCCAATACATTTTTGAAAACCTGGCGCCTATGAATATAGGTACTAATTACTCGGACTTTTTAGCAGTAAAACCATAAAAATTGCAAGAATAAAACTAACACATTTTTTTATTCACCAACTTATTAAAAGCTAAGATTTACTTGATTGAAAGCGATAGTCAATAAGATATAAATGTATACAAATACAATGATACTTATGAAACCTTAGTCATAACTAGAATTTCTAATATTTGTTAAAACATAATAATTTCATATTCGATGATAAATAATACAATATTGGGGGACGGTCTAAGGCGTTGGTTGCGATGACGTCGACTCAATTCTTTGATCATGGGCGGCATTTTTCTTCGGGCAAGTCACGGTGTCCGGAGTACAAGTGCCGCCATCTCCCACCCGTACAAGGCAGATACCTACGGGTGCCCATTGTGCCCAATCAAAAATTCTGCCAAACCCTAAATAAAAAACATACAAAAACTAATACAGCTAATGGCCATAGATGCCAGGCTTAATATCAAGAAAAAAAAATGCAATACAATATCATCAAGTAGTACCTACTTAAAAAAAAAAATGGGCTGAAAATGTTCTACTACACCATAAATAGCTGGGAGGGAAATGTCCGAGATTCCTCTCACTATAGACCACTCTCCCTTATACAAGGTGATTCATTAAGCGTAAAACACTCATTATCTCAAAAGTTTTAAGGGTTTTTGAAAATATTTTTTTACATAGTTTCAAGTTGTTAAAAAACAACGTTTTCAATAAAAAATTATATTTTTAAATATTTTTTATCCTTATAATTTTTTAAGTTTTTTACTTTTTTGAATGACGCATAGAGTTTAAATTTCATATTCCAAAGCAGAATATTTTTCTAAGTATTTTGATACATACAAATCGAACTTAGGATGAGTAGTTTATGAGTTATAAGTATTTTAAGTTTAGATGGTAACCCCATTCCACTCCGCCAATCTAAACTTAAAATACTTATAACTCATAAACTACTCGTCCTAAGTTCAATTTTTATGTGTCAAAATACTTAGAAAAATATTCTGCTTTGGAATATGAAATTAAAATTCTATGCGTCATTCAAAAAAGTAAAAAACTTAAAAAATTATAAAGATAATAATATTTAAAAATATAAATTTTTAATGAAAACGTTGATTTTTTAACAACTTGAAACTATGTAAAAAAATATTTTCAAAAACGATTTAATTGATGATTTTTTTTATAGTAGTCAGAAAAATTTAGATAGTAATTAGGTAGTTTAAACGTCGTTACAAAATATACCAGGAGCTAAATCCAATCCGCGACTTGCGGTTGCCCATCTAGATCGTATTATTTCACACAACTAGCCGCTAGGTACACTGATTCCGATTGTTCCGTGAATTTTTTTCTGAATTTGCCCCGTATTGCTGTAGGTCTACTATGCTCATTTTCAATTATGAACCATTTGGTTCATTATTAAAACGATAACCTAACCTAACAGTTCCAATTATAACAATATTGATTAGCTTACACTGCTAACAGAAAAAATAGTCTTTATAATATACCTGTGTCATTATTCTAAATAGTAAATTTATTAAATTTTAAAGCAATTTAATTTTACAAGAATATCATTTTTTTATAGACAACAAATCTAAAATGCTTAAAATTATGCTTAATACAGTTTTATATTTGGAATCCTTGATGCATACAACTGTCAACAAATGTACCTATAATTAACTCTTCTATATATTTTAATCTATGTATATTCTTTAAAAGTTAACAAATACTATAAGTCCTGTTCATGGCAAACTAAAAGTTAATTTGTGAATAGATTACTATAAAACCCTCATCAATGACAAAACGCTTGTCAAGTCAGAGATCAGCATGTAACCTTTCTTGATTTTTAATTTTTAGAAATGTATGCAATATGCATGTATTTTATTACAATATGATTAAACCAAAATAAAATTTACTTTAAGGAAATTATTAATTGCAAATTAATTTATTGAGAAGATATTAGATTATAGTAGAATATAGTAGGTAGAATATCACTGGTTTGAATTTAAGAGGTATACAGTCATTTCGCTTAGTTTAGATTTATTTCATTGGTATTGAATAGCATTCGTGCAATATGCAATATGCAATCTACCGCACAAAAAACAAGTAACAACTACCAAAATGTTTACTTGTGACCTACTATATTATATTTTAAAATATAAATAAAATAGTTTTTAAATAGGACATTTCCATTTTTTTAAATCTAACCACAGGTCCTCCCCCTTTACAATCTTATATAGATTAATAAAAAAATAATCAGATTTGTGTGATCTCATCAGCTGGACCAGGCTTTAGTTAAATTACTATATAACATTTGGTGGTTCATCACATTTACTTTAATTTAATTTCTTTATACAATTTTTAAATATTTTTACTGAAAATTAGAAAAGTGACAGTGGTCCACACTCCACACCCTATAATAGTACCCAATTAATACTACCTAGTTACAATAAGTAATAATTAATTCAACCAAAATATTTAACTGTAATAATTTACCTTTACCAAAATTAGCAAAAATTAGCAGAAAACAATTTCAGAGTACAGAATTTAGTGAAAATTAGTACCTACATAATGCAATGTTAAATAGGTAACTAAAACAAAATAATAAATAGATATATGATTTTATTTATAATATTGTATATTCCACTAATTCTATTTTTAAATGAGGTATCAACTAATATTGAAGGAACTTTATCTTTAATAGTTAAATCACTACAAAGCTTTATAAAAAATTAAAATACATTTTATTGGGCGTTTTTTGATGTTTTTCAGCTTAGTAGCTTTATAATGAATTAACAATTGAAGATAAGGTTCTGAAACTCTTTACAACACTTCTCCTTGCCAATGTGCCCCAAACAACAAAATCCGTTCTCCAGTTTCAGATATCTATCCCTCTAAATAAAAATCTAGCAAAAAATAACCATTTTTTTAACTGTAAAAAGTTAAATATTTTTTTTTTAATTTTTAACTACAAATTTTGTATTTACTTGATAATCCCTTTTAAATGAGATATCAACCAACTTTCTAGCTATCATAGTTTAGGATAAAAGTTAAAAATAGAAATTTTGGGACTGTTCACACAGACGATTTTGTGGATTCAAATCGTTATACCATTTGGGTGTGATATCAGATCACTCTCATTAATATTTTATATTGAAGCTAGCTTAATTACCCACCTACTCAATATTACTGTGTTACATTTTTTTTATTTTCCATTTTAACACAAATTCTTAAAGTTTTAAAAATTCAGACTTTTTTCATTTCAATTACCATACTTACTTGATTAAAAATGAAGAAAGTAAAAATATGCTGAAAAACTCCAAGATTTTTTCAGTTATTCTTACATTTAAAAACCAATAATTATCGATATTTCTTTATCTGTCAAAAAAATTTGGTTAAAAAATGATAAAAATATACAATTTATTAAAAAAATTATATTGTATTTAGTTATATTATTTCCAATATCATTAAGATACAATTATTAATTACTTCTTCCTTGTCTTTCCCATACTTCATACCTTTTCCACGGACGGTTGATACTGAAAAAAGTTAAATATTAACAAGTAAAGCATGTTATTATGACTTATAAGTGGGCTAGATATTTCTACATAAATCTTAAAATGAAAAAAGTGGGTGACGCTCTGCTGTATAGTAGGTTACAAGTGGGTCACTGTAATGGATGATATTTAATTTGAATACAATGATATAATATCATTGCACCTATATGAAAAATGATTCTGAGCGAAGACGGTTACATTACTTGTGCATACAAATCTGGAATCTAGTAAGGTAGTTAAGCTATAATATAAAGCTACTATGGTTAATTCTATTAAAAAAAAATGTATGAATAAATTAACATAATGCTTTGAAACCAATCAAAATTGTATTAATAAAATTATAAGAACTACCATTCATAAATTGTTAAATTTTTGTATAAAAATAAAGTGATATTTCACGGTCTTCCAAGTTGAAGTATAAATCATTAAAGCTACTGATATTGTTTACGAATTCTACTTTAAAAATATAAACCTAAAAATATACAATTGCTTATTTTAAATGCTCATTGTTTTTGTATTTAACTAACCGGCATTGGTGTCCACATTTGTTTGAAGTGCACGTTTCACAGGGCCAAAAGCACCCGACGCAATCATCATCGTCGCAATCACAATCGCCATCGTCAGGATTTTCCATTGTTAATTCTTTATCTTTTTCAGTACTACAATCGCCATCGTCGGGTTTTTTTTTTGTTAATTCTTTTTTATCTTTCTTAGTACTAAAATTTAAGTAATAGAAAGTATATGATGCATAATAGTAACAGGTCAACAACTAGAACAAAATTAAATAAACTCACTTATCCATAATGCTACACACAAACTCCTCTTTAAATTATCTAGTTATTAGTTAATTTCAGCAAATAAGTGTCTGCACAGATCTGAATCTGTGTGTGCTTCTATTTTAATAAGTGGTCCGGGAACTGAAAATTACATCATTACTATTATGTTTAAGTTTAAGATAAAAATTAAATTACAAACACTATGTAGAGAAGATCTTTAATTCTCTGGCTCTCAGAATAGTAAATTGTAATTATAAATCTTAAATATTATGATTGATTTTTTATAACACTGGAGTAAAATAGATAGATTCTGTAATTGATTAAATGTTCAATCACAGACTACAATCAATCTGGGTACCTTGAAACTTCGGTGTTACTTGAAACCAACGGGCAAAGATTTATAAAAACACTAGATAGACGAGTTCCTATTCCATAAAATTACAAATTATAATAATAATAATAATAATATTTATTTTGCAAAAAACAACAAGTGACACATTATATAAGTACGTAAAATAATTATTTGCAGCACCCCCTAAAAGCAAAGCTTGTGCTGGGGGAGCGGTTCTTATATTATATTACTTAAAATAAATACATTAATAATAAATTAGTAATAGTTGGAATTAAGAAGTAGCAAAGTATTTTCTATACAATATTTTAAACATAGTAAAAGATAAGAGTATGAAGAACAAAAATAATTATAACAACATATTAATTATATACCTAATAGACAGATCAAGATTTTTAACATACTTTTTGAATGACTTCAAATTATCAAAAAGGCTAATGTTAATATTTAAGGTTTGACATAGTTTTAGACCGTTATATAAAACACTCATTTGACCAAAAACTTTACTATAGTTAGGTAGGCATATATTAATATTATGTTTATATCTTGTATAATGATCATGATCAATAGGGATAATTAAATTTTTATTTTTATAAAGTACAATTAGTGTATTATAATTAAAAATATACCTAAAATCTTTGACTTTTAGTTCTTTATAAATTAATGTAGTACTTGTTTGAAATGATAGATTTAGAAGATATTTAATAATGCAGTTTATAGTTGTTAATAATCTAGATAGATGATTGTTGTACGTTCCTCCCCATATTGATATACCATAAGTAAAAACTGATTTCACCAAGGATAAATAAATAATTCTTTTATATGAGTTGTTAAAAATATATTTGACTTCTTTAAATATGAAAAAGAACTTACGTAAAATATTGTTTAAGTAATTGATATGACTATCCCATTTAAATCTATAATCTAGAATAAGGCCAAGGTATTTTAGTTCCTTAACATTTTCAAGAATGACACATTTCGACTTACAAGTATTGCTAAAAGCTGAGACACATTTTAGTGAATGGACTATTAAATCGTTAGTATTCGAATTATAATGTAAAAACACTAATATATAAAAATTATGAAGCCGACAAACCAAACAAACGACCAAAACTCTATTATCTATTATCTATCAGTTAATGTATTAATGTGCACCATTATAAAGAACAAAAGAACAGGTTATAAAACGCGGGCTAAATCGGCGGTCAGAACTAGTGACGCCGTAGTTCCATTAACTGCCGAGCGCTGCTGCCTGCTAGTTAGACGTGTCCATGAACTAAGATATACTAGTAACTACATACATAACTTTTTAAGTAAATAAAATAAAATATTATATGGAACTATGGAAGTGCCTTACTAGAAATTCGCTAAATTAGACCGGTTCAAAATTATCCCACATTGTCCCGCACCGGGATAATGAACCATGTAAATGATATGGTCCAAACATCCCGGTGCATTATTTTTCACACCGGTTTAGTCTAAAGGTACAATGCGTCATGGCTAAATATATATATGCATAACATTGTCTGACCGGCTGATAAGGCTTTGTGTCCAGTCCTGTATATCTTAGTTCATGGACGTGTCAGATTTTCATTATTTCATATTATTATGTGTATAATCATTAATCACTATAATCCAGTGGTTTTCAAACTGGGTGCCGCGGCACACTGGTGTGCCTCAAGAATTTACTGAGTGTGCCGCGGTCTTTCGGAAAGTTCAACTATTCGTCCAGGAGGCAGGAATAAAATTATAAAAATAAAATTAATAACAATTTGTTAGCCCGTCATTCGTCAAGCACTCATTTCTAATTAAAATAATTAAATGTACTTATATAAATATAATTCAAAATAATTTTGTTCATCTAATTATTTAGTGCAAAAAAAAAAAGGTCTGTGTGCCTTGAAAATTTTTTGTGGAGCACGGTGTGCCGCGTTCAATAAAAGTTTGAAAACCACTGTAATACTATAATCTATCACAGTCTGGGTACAATTTCACTTAAGTTACTTCCATTTGTTGATTGAAAGTTAAGTTAATTGACGTTTTGAAAACTATGGTGCCAAAAAAATATCTCCCTAGCCAGTAGTCATTAGTTTCGAAGTTATAATCCCTTGAAGTTATTTTTATGCACAACGCTCTTGTTTACGCCGTATTTTACGAATTTATTTTTTTTTTTTCACTTAAGTATTTTAGTGAGTGTGTGCGTAAATGTGGATAATCCAGAACTTTAAGTGGCAACATCTTAGAAACAGAAAATGTTTTGTGACCATATTTTTTGCAACCAACATTTAAAAAATTGCAATTAACTTAACTTTGAAAAAAAAAAATGTTGCAATAGCATAATAAATAATAATATGATATATTCTATCGCAGTGCAATTATAAAATAGTTCGTATCAAATACTATACTATTTGTTTGTATTCTTATTTAATTTTTTATTTAAATAATATATTAGAAAAATAACAAATACCAATTATAGGTATACCTAAGTTCATTGGTGACAGGAACTATTTTTTCTATGAAGCCAACTACCTTAAATTAGTACCCACACACCAATTTTTCACATTTTACACATTGTAAACGCATGTCGCAGGTCGTACATGACTATGTGAGTATAAATTATAAACTAGTATAGACGTCTAGGTCTTGGTGACTGGAGTCATTGTCTTATTGGGATACACACCCGGTATTAAAACAGACTAATAGGTATATTAAAATTGTTAAAAGTTTTCTTGGTAGTCCAGTCCCTGAAGTAACCAAATTTTCGTACTACACACATAGTCCCAAATCTGTAAAATCTAAATTCCCTATTTTTAGATAAACACTTAAAACACTAAAGTAATCTATATGAACCACCGTTCACTACTAAGCTGATAATAATAAAAATAGCTACTCTCAATAACAATGAATAGTTTATAATAATAACTATAATAAGAGTATAAAGGTCGCTCCACACTATGCATGTTTCGCGTTTCATGTTTTCACGTTTTCGTAGAATTTCGTGAATAGTGTGTATAGCTTTTTCATGAAATTTTTTTTCGTGAAAACGGTTTCGTAGTGTTTCGCGAACGAGGCGGTAAAATTGACGAAATCAAAGGACACGAAAATATTTTTCGTACTGTTTCCTGTCGTTTCGTTGTATTTTGTTGTTTTTCGTGTAGTTTCGCGTTTCTCATGTAAACAGGAAGTTCATAATTATTATCACTACGAAACGTGAATCGCGAAACGCGAAACATGCATAGTGTGTATACCTTTCTACGAAACACTACGAAACACTATGAAACGCGAAACGCAAAACGCGAAACGCGAAAAATGCATAGTGTGGAGCGACCTTTAGACGTAGCAACACAAAATATTGTTTACTGTGTGTCTGTCATCTATGTAGAATCTAGATAATAATTATTAAAATGTGGTTTGCCAAAAAACCATTGAAACATAAAAAAACATGTGAAGATATAAAATTATAAATAATATTACTATAAAGGTTTAATCAGAATAACACACTTTTAAATTTCGTACTACACAATGCACTTTTCGTACTATACACAAAGTGTGTCGTAGTACTCACAATTGTATGGACTGTGGTAGTCTTACATTTGTGACAGTGATTGGTACCAGTGGTGGATCTAGGATTTTTTTAAGAGGAGTGCTAGGGTAAGGTCTCATGACTCATATTCTGTTTCTGTATACTCCCATCCTAATGGCAAGAAGAAATAGGTAGGTATCTTTTAATAACAATAAACATAGTTGGAAAATACAAGATATGACATAGATGATATCAGAACATTTTGTCTGCGTTTTTAGTCCGAATATGAGAGTAGCACCGACTTTTTAAGTAGGCATTCAAAATGAATGTGAGGAACAAATGCACTTTATCAACCCCCTGATGATTTTGAATTTTCTTTTTTCAAACGGCTTGGTTTGTTATGCTTAAAATGATGGTGTAAATTTGTGTTGCTACCTGTTGAATCCTAAACACATTCAGGGTTTAACCGGAAACTATTTTTTTAGAAGTTATAGCCTTCTAAAGTTTTGCGATTTTACGTTTGTGCGCCTGCGCGCAACGCTACTTGACTGCCACTCGCAGTGCTATACATAACAATTTTTTTTTCTGCGTTTTTTAACAAAATTCGATCTTGTTGAGATAGAGGACAGTTGAGGAGTTAGGAATTGAAAATAAGTCACTCAGTGTACATGATGATTGTATATGATATAAATTTGTATAAATTAGTATTAAATATATTTTACACTTTTACAGTATTTATTTTAATTGGGCTAATACCTAGTCTAATTATGTACTCAACTATAGTCTATATTTCACCTTAATAATGACGTGATTCATAATATTATTCACCCAAAAAATGACTGTCCCACAAATTGTTAAAATACGTAAAACAAAATAAAAATTTGTTATAAGCGCTGCGCGTGGCAGTCAAGTAGCGTTGCGCGCAATCGCATAAACGTAGCCTTAAATCGCTACATTTAACATAAAAAAGGTGGGTAAGTGACAAGTGTATACAGTATGTCACTCTGCTGTACAATAGGTTAGAAGTGGGTCATTGTAATGGATGGTGTTAAATTTGAATTCAATGACATAATTTCATTGTATAAGAAAAACAATTCTGAGCGGAGACGGTATGTCAGTCTAGGTATAAGAGATATTATATACTTATCTATGGTATTAAAAAAACTTGACCTATAATAAATTTCAAATTAATCATATCACAATATTCATTAGGTACTTATAACGCGTTATACATCAACGATCAACAACAAACCCTGATACTATCATAGATATATATAGTAGTATACTTTAGAAGTTTCAAGTACCCACGAATAATATTATACAAATATACAATCACAACAAAATAACTAAAAAAGTTATTCTAGGTTTTTTATATTATGAAATTTCGTCCATTTTTTAACTTAAAATGACTATAAAAATAAAATTTGCTTATGTATTTTTTAGATTTTTTGGTGACAGAATTAACTACTTACTTGGAATCTTTTTTTAAATTTTCAATCCTTAGATATAAAAGTTAAACATTTTATACATTTTTAACTAAAAGATAATTATTCAATTTAAAATTTGATAAATTTTGTCAAAATTCGATCTTTAAATGCTTATAAAAAAACATTGTGCCTTTATGTATTTTTAATATTTTTCAACTGACATTGTAACAATATCAGGAGCCTTGTATTAAATTTTTCCACTTTTTGGCCCAACAGATAAAACTTTATTGATATTTATAGAAAAAAAAATAAAAAATTTAAAACTGTAATTGTCCGTAAACAGCTCAAAAAGAGTCAAAATATTTTCAAAATTGTATGGTGTATAGGAAATGCTAATATAAACATTCAGTGAAATTTTCATGTATCTACAGTTATTCGTTTTTGAATTACAACAAAATAAGGAAATCGCTACATGAGAAATCGAGTGAAAATCCAATGTTGTAAAAATTTGAATTTCAAACGCTCATAAAAATTTAATTTGACTTTCTTATTGATATTTTTTTTTTGATAAAGATAGATAATCTTATAAGGAATCTTGTATTACATTTTAAAATCTGAGATTTAAAAAGAAAAAGTTTTATGAATTCTTAACTCAAAATAATTTGCTAATTTTCGTGATTTTTCCATATTTTGTCAATTTTTGGACTTTAAATGCTTATAAAAAAAAACTGTGACTAAGGATTTTTAATATTTTTCATCTGCCTTTGAAAAAATATACTAGGAGCCTTATTTTCAATTTGTTTTAACCAACAAATAAAATTTTATTGATATTTCTAGGAAAAAACTAAAAAAAATGGAAAATGAAAATGTCCCTAAACGGTTCAAAATAAATCAAAATATTTTGAAAATCTTATCGTGTATAGAAAATGTAAATATAAACAATTAGTGAAAATTGCATGTATCTACGGTCATTTGTTTTAAAGTTACACCAAAAACCAAATTCAATTTTGTGTAATAATTCCCGTTTTTCCTTAATTTTTCTATTGTTTTTCTTGGCGCTATTGAAAATTACTGGGAATTTTAAATTTTGACCTCCCCAATGCCCCAACAATATTCACTTTCCAATCGAACAAGATATTGAAGTTGAAAATCGAAGCTTTATTTTGACTACTTATCGTGTACACAGACACAAAAAAAAATTTTAAAAAAATTAAAAATTAAAAAAAAACCCACATCATTGTAAAATCAATACATTCATCGTTCCACTCAGAATCTAAAATATCAATGTAAATTAGGAAATTATTTAAGTATATATTTATAATATGTATTGAAAAATATAATATGATAAAAACGTCAATTCTATGACGAAAAACGGGTACATATATTTTGCTTGGCTCCTATAGTTCTATGTTGATATTTGGCAAAGACATCGATAATTCAATTTTCAAGGTATATAACTGTACCAAAATAATATCATGATATATTTATACATATGTTTTAAATATAATAATGAATATGTGGTGAACCTATATGGATAAATTGAGTAGATTGTATCATTGTAGGTAGCATTGATTTGTGTTCACGTAGTACAAATATTATTATACACACTTGAACATAAAGGACAATGAGTTCCTATCAAGTATCAATTATTATACTATATTCGTGAGATTCTAATAAATTGTTCACCCAAATCAAAAATCAGGACATCAGGTAATAAATTATATTATTTATTCCTAAAATAATATATGATCTAGTGATTTACATTAATTATATAATTGTATTATAATTTCTTATCAAATATCAACGGACAACAGTCTACAGCTAAACCACGGCTAAACAGTAAACATATGGTTTAAATTTCAAGTTTATCCCACAATCACAATTACGTGAAGAGCACCGAAAAACATTGCATTTTTTTCATTACACATTTTTTAACCTCCATTCATACAGACGTATTAATGTCAACTATCATTACCTTAGGCACCTAATAAAGAATCCAAATGTAAGTTATTGTAAAAAAAGTAGGTAGCTGTGAAGAAAAAATGTAGAGTAATTATTAATTACGATTATAATAATAAATAATTACAATAATAATAGGTACAGATTTTGGTGATATTAATGAACTGTTTGCCAACAAGTTTTGCTTTTGTTTTTATTTTTTTTGGAGCGTGTCATAGATTCCCAATTTAAGTGTATACAACTATAAAAAGATAGTTATAAGAAAAATGTATTTAGTTCTTGTAAATTAAACATATACCAATTATTTCACTTAAAAGTATTAGGTTTACCTAATGCATATTTTACTAAAGTTTAGAAGACCTAACGAAGGGATAAGAAACTATCAATAACTAAAAATAATGATTTGAGTATCGACATTTTCTGAAAAAAAAGCTTTACCAGAATCCATTAAAAAATATAGTGATTACCTTTTGAAATATCAAAGTTGATTTTGCTATTGATACACCTGTGTTTAAAAATTTTGAAATTGTAAAAAAATTGCTTGGTGAAATTAAAGAAACACGTCTTTTTTCGTTAAAAAAAACCCACGGATAATAGCATAAGATACACTCTGTATATTTAAACCAGGGAACACGGACTAAGATAGAATATGATAGTCTATAGATAGTTGTTAGTTCTATGCCCGTGGTCCGTGCCCTGTCCTCGTGATGGTCTCTTAGATCATAATAATTATGGTAATTATAGAATTCGATGTATTTGATCTAAGAGCCATAACAAATTAAATTAAATTCGTCATGCTAAAAATGTTAAATGATCTGAAAATATTTTTATTTTTTTGCTGATATATTGTGGTATTGTGATTATGTTATATTCTGTGCTTATACTTTATCAGTTAATACTTTATCTTCAATACTGATTTCCAGTTGCAGTAAAATGACAATACAAAATATGTTGTCCAATGTTGGTCTAACTGTGACCTACTTATCATCATACTAATATTTTATATTTTATCTTTTTGTTTTCAATTTAAAAAATATTTATTAATTTATTATTTTATTATTTGTAATTATTACTAATTTTACTAATATAACTAATTTTGTTTATACATTTGTAATATAATTTCTATTTAATATGTATATTTTGTACATAATTTCCCATATTACATTCAACATTCCCTGTTCTGAATAACTTTGGATGCTGCAATATTTTAACTAGCATACGCCGGGCTTAAGGTAAATACAATTTATGTAGTGTATATTTTGATTCTCTTTATACTCTATCTTGAGTCGTGACTTTACTCGTATTTTTAAAACATAAAATTCATGATTCGGTTTTTGGTGTTACTGTTGTTTTAGAATGGCACAAACAAGGCGTGTGCCAGTCTTTGGTTCACGGCCCCCATGTGCATACCAATCCAGACTTGATGAACGTAGCTTACAATTACGTATGGCTAGATTGGAACGGTCCAGAAAGTCAGATAAACCGGAGGATTTTGTTTGCTATGAAGACTCGGATGAAGAAGAAGAGAGCACAATGTCATTATGTACTATGCTAAACTCTTCTTATAATTTTGTTGATTATATAAGAAATCGTGAATATGGAATGCGAGAGTATCGTTCAGTAAATCAAAATCATGGTACAAGGCATATACTAACACATGACTTATTCAAAGAACGGTCTATACCATTAAAAACAATGAATAAAGTTTTTTGTTCACAATGGCTTAGTAGTAAACAAATTGTCTTTGGTACAAAATGTAATAAAGTAAGTACACTGAATACCTATAATTAAAGCATTTCTAACATTCTAACATTTACATTTTAGCCATTTAGAAATTATACTCTTAAAATTACTAGTAGGATTTAAAATTGCATAATAATCATTACTATTAGCCGTTAGGTATATAAAATACACAGTATACAATTATACTTAACAGTACCTACCTACAGAACTATTTTATATAAAAAAAAAATTTTTAAAACTACATTAAAGAATTTTTTAATGATAAAATAATAAGTTTTTTCTTTATTGTATGGTGAAATGAACATTTAAAAGCTAAAATTTTAAAAGGTACTGGTTTGTAATTGCCACGCCCGGCTTGTGAAACTCCGTCATCCATATAATCGGTGACTAAGTGATTAATTCCATTGAAGGTAAATATTTTCTGAAGCTCCAAGTTCCTATAATTAATTTAGAATTTATTTTGTTATGTATTTTAACAAGTTAAGAATGATGATTAAACCAGCGAAATATATTTATGTTTTACAGGACACCCTTTTTTTTTGTTTTATTGTATGTAGTTATGTATGCTGAAAATGATGGTGGTCGGACTTCGTTTTGAAGTTATAGTTATTAAGTGATAGTTATTTGAAGTCCGAGACCCATCCAAGGTTGTTTTACATAACAAGCAGTGGGATATTTTCGATTTTAATTGTCCAAGCTAGGTGTATATGTGCTTTTAATAGTTTTGTTTTAACTCCAAAACCCATCCAAGGTAGTTTTACATAACAAGTTGAGGGATGGATTCAATTTTAATTATGACCACACTTGGTGTATATGAAAATACTTTAAACTTCAGTTAGCTATAAATTTATTACTAAGTTGGACCCAACAAATCCTATCTTCACCATTTAAAGAAAGCAAAAAAAAAGTTGTCTGGTAAAACAGAAAGGTTCCCCATTGAGTACCTACATAATATACTAGTATTAATACTAAATGGTAATACTAATATTATCATTATTATTAATTTGTAATTTTTGGAAATAGGTATTTACTATTTAATAAAAATAAAAATAACTATCACACAAAAGGTATAGAAGGTATTCGTTATTTTTATTCTTATGGGTTGCAAGACAATAACAAACCAAAGTGGCAGAGTGATAAAATTTCCACATGCCCAGGTGGGACGATAACAAACTAGTATCTTATAAAACTCATTTTATAATCTGCTCATATTCCATACAATTAGTAAATAGATATCTAAAAATGTTATATTAAATAAAAATGTGGGCACATAAATAAATCATATTTTAATATTATTGACTACTTAAATTATACTTAACAAATAATAAGTTGTATTATGCATTAGCTTTATTACATATTACATTTGTTTTACTGTTATTAATAGTTAATGGTTTATAATGTAAAATCACATGAACTGGACCAAATACCATCAATAAAGGGACGTATAGATGAAGCAGCTGATCAACAAAGTGGTATTCATTCGTTAAAAATTAATCCATCCAGAACGTTATTGGCAACAGGCGCATATAATTCTAATGAAATCGCTGTATATAGGTTGCCAACATTAGATCCTATTGTTCTAGCCGAGGTAAACAACATTAAAAATAAACATGTAACTGTTATTTACATTATTATTTTATTAGGGTGCTCACAAAGATTGGATATTTGACATTGAATGGTTGGATGATGAGTTTTTTGTTAGTGGATCACGGGATACCAAACTTGCTCTATGGCAAGTTCAAGATAAATACCAAGAAAAGTATGATTCTGATGGTGACCTCATACAACCAGTTACTCAATTCCTCAATCCTGCAGTTATAAGAAGCTGCAAGACAGCACAAAAAGTCCGAGCAATCACATTTAATAAGAGTTTAAAAGAAATGGTTACATTGTCACTAAATGGATATGTTCATGTTTGGGATGTTGAACGTTTTAGACAAGTAATTGCAATTTCAATTATTATTACTTCTTACAAACAAATTTATTTTTAATCTAATAAGATATATTCTAAATAGTGTTGATTACTTAATTTAATAGTTACTAACGTGATCCCAAGTATAAAAATGTAAATGAACCTCCATTTCCGGTCAACAAATAAAATGTTCACAAATACATATTTATACAATTCTGAATTTTTTATCTTATTATTCATATCTTATATTGCATTACAGAGGTTTTCAAGAAGATTATCTTCTTGTCAGGACAATGTCTGCATGGCAATGAAAAATGATAGTAGTTTATATGCTGTTGGATGCCGTTCATATACACTGTTACTTGATTCAAGAACTTTACACACCATAAAAAAAATCCCTGCAAGATATAGTGGATGTGGTTTGTATATTTTAATATTTATCAAATGTTAAAATTTGTTCTAGTCTGTTCCACAAGAGAACATGCTGGTTTTGTGCATCCACTGTGTCCCCTTCTATTGAAACTAGTTCCTCCATGGCATGGTGTTGAATGGGGATGCGCAGATAACCAATTTTTGTCTGTCCATGACATGATCTCTTATGGAGCGGAGTATTACAATATATTTTTCTAGTATGAAAAAATTAGGACAAACATATTGTTTAATTTGATCACACAACTTTAACTATATTTATTAGAGATTTATGATTATAATTTAATTAAATCCATCCTAATTTAATTATTAATTTGTTGTGTTGCAGGAATTAGGTCTTTAAGTTTCCAGGATAATGTAATTACAATTGGTACAGGTGTTGGGGTTATAATGTTCTATGATATACGGGCTGGAAAGTACTTAGAATCTAGTATTAACTCCAGTAGAGCAGTTGTGTTAAAAACAAGTAGAGGTTATGTTGTAAGTATCATCATTTAAAATTCATATATAGTTTGTTAATTAATACAATTTGTTATTAGTATCCTGATGAAGATTTCATGGTGGATCAAGGATTTCAACAAGTCAAATATACACCTGCAATTTATACACATTGCTACGATTATTCAGGAACCAGATTATTTTCTGCTGGTGGACCGTTACCAGCCAATTTATGTGGCAATTATGCAGGCTTATGGCAATAATATTATTACAATTTATTGTTTAAATATTGTTTGTAGTATTCTCTTACTACATAAAATATTTCTTCCAACAATGGATAAAATATTTCGGTATTTTGTGAGTTGTATTCCTCGAGTCATTAAAAACAAACTACAAAATATTGAACAATATTATTGTACACGCAAGTTAATTGTGCTATGTAATAATCAATATATTATCTAATTGGTTTTGAGGTTTGAACATGAAATACTGAGCTTTTATAAAGTATTTCATGTTCTAGGAGTAAGAACTAAGACTATACTTGGCTGGAATGAGTGTTTTTATCTAATAATTTTATTGAAATAAACATCTTCAATTTTACAATTAATGTAAAAATAATTAAATAAGTTTCAATTGTGTAGCAATTGAATACTATAGTTAAAGAAACATTCATTCGTCTTGTATTAAAATAATTAACTACTATATTTCTTTTTTTTCATTTGGTTTGGTTTTTAATAATATTTCAAATTATAATTAACAATCTTAGAAATAAAAAACAATATTCATTAGTAAATTAGAAATATATTCCTTGATACATCAAATAAAATTCATAGTGATGTTTAATTTTTTTTTTTATTCATGTTTCTATATTTGATTTATTTGTATGTTAAAATCTTCAGGAAATATTGCCATATACTTCATATATTTAATCAATTTATAAAACATGTAAAACTGAGTTTGTAAAATCAGCAAAAATAATTGCTATGAATTAGGCAACACTTTATTTGATGACGCTGCAGTTCTATACATGATAAACTCATATTCAAAATAAATAGAGAAATAAAAAAAAATCAACCAAGATTAATGTTTTATACCAAAACTATTAATTTTAAATATGTTCAGTCTCCCCAATGTGTAGCCATTAATTGATGTTTAGGTACATTGTAATTTTTTACTTTTTTGATAAATGTTCAAAAATAATTTGTTTTTGAAAAAAATGTTTGAATATATTTTAATAAACAATGTTCCTTATAAGTTTTACACCAGCAATTAATAACCCATTGAAATGATATAGTGATGTTTTCTTTTTAAGAGTGTTCGGGAGTTCTTATTTTGACAATATTTGATATTCAAATGTAAAATAATGGAGTTTCCTCATAAATTTTGTTATAGCTTATAAAAAATACTGATCATAGAAACTTAAACCATTTGAATATTACTTAAATTATAATTACAAGTATAAAAAATTATTAAGCCTTATTTTAAGCTATTTATAGATTTATGAAATTTGTTTTCAATAAAATTAGATAATATATTTTTGTTTTGGTAAAAAAGAAAGAAATCGTTTAAAACAAGGTTCTTCATAGTTATTCTTAAAGGAATTGAAAAGGCATTGTTTTTTTTTTTATGAGTTTTTGAAGTTTACATTTTCACAAAGTATGTAAATTATTAATATGTTTTCCATATATTTAGACAATTTTAAGCTATTTTTATTGTGAACATATTCATATAATTTCCATTCTACTTCACCTTCTCGGTATTTACTTTAGTTAATAACAATAATATACATTTTATTTAATAATCCAACACAATTTTATGGTTGTATTATACCTACATGTATAGTATGTAAGACTGAGTATATCACATAAATTAATATATTTTCAAATATTCGGCAACAGTGTTGCAGATTTTATAAAAACTAATTTTCATGCTTTTTTTTGGATTTGGAGTAACATATACATCATACAATTAACTTGAATACTTAGTGTAGAAATTGTAAAAAGAATCATAATAGAATTACTCAGTAAAAATATTTGTATATCTAGTATATTTTATGTTTGACAGACAAAACTTATGGATTTAAGGTACCTAGTCAATTGTGCAATTTAATTATAAATAATTATAAATAAATATAATATCTAAATCTTTGTCTTAAAAGATATTTATGTGAAATAACACTCACTGAACACTATTCAAAATCGGTCACCCAAAAACTGTATACCTATTGTATGAATTCTTGTCATCTAGAACGAACATAACCTGATTGGAAAGTTCCACAGTTGCCTCAAGCCCTCAAAGGCAAACTGGACATCACCCTGTCATATTAAGCACTGCAGTACTGCACAATATTATGTAAATATTAATGTCTCAATTTAAGAATTATAATGTGCAGTTTCTTTAAAAGAAACTTCTTCTGCACTGCCACCCTCGGATGAGTAAAGAAATACAAATTTGCTCCCAATGGCCATTATTGTAAAACCGAATTCATCTTTATACAGTATCCACTCAGTCTTAAATAATTAAGAGGGTACACCTGCGTGCGTTGTATCCGTCTTACAAATGTACAACATAGTAAAAACTGTTTTGCGCGGGACAACTTTACTCCCTCTGTATTTATAGCAGAATTATCAAAATTCTACAATGCATAAGGAAGAACTTTATCTGTGTCGTAGCGTTTTTATTTCTTTTATAGCATTTACCAACTATTTTTAATAATTAAATGAATAAAACAAAAAAATCCTAATGTTCTCAAAGTGATAACTTTAATTGTATTTATGTTATTCAAATAATAAAAACGCTACGACACAGATAAAATTCATCCCTATGGGTTGTGGAATTTTGGTAATTCTGCTATAAATACAGAGGGAGTAAAGTTGTCCTGCGCAAAACAGTTTTTACTATGTTTTACATTTGTAAGACAGAGACAACGCATGCGGGTGTGGCGTCCTCTTAAGTATAAAACAATTGATTAAGCAAACATTGCTGGGAGCCTTCCTATTATGTTATTTATGTCTAATGTTCCTATGTCACCACACTTACTCATTATACCTTGTCTGTTGTATAGATTGTAAATATTCTTTTTTAAAAAAAAAAAAAAGCAAACATAATAATACTCATAAATGCATATTATTAATATTTAATTCCCTTACAAATAAACAAAAATATATTGCTTGTTGTATAACAAGATTAATTACATTAACACTTTGATTGCAAATAGATAATGAAATTCCGAGATTGACATAATTTTGTAAATTAAAGTTTATTCTCTGCACTAGTGGGATGGGATGATTTGTATAAAATTGGACCTTAAAAAAATAAACAAAATACTACTAACTGATACTCATTTAATAATTATAAATAATTTGTTGATAAACTGGTTGGTCGATTTCATGTTCATACATAAACAGCCAGAAATGTGACATATATTTCTAATAAGTATACTATTATTTATCAAAAAAACATCTAAAATGTGAAACTTTGCTATTGTTCACTACATAAAATAAATACTTAATAATTAATATTGATTAAAATACAATTTTTTTTAATTACAATATTTCATCACGTGCCTAAATGTATTATTAAAGTAGAGTAATCGTCCAATTTTGAGCTATTCCGACAGCAGGTTTCCGCACTGTTAATACTTGATTATGAGTATTGTATAAAACGGATAATTCTGACAAACTACCACCATTGACCTGTATACTGGCTTTGGTAAATACATTGGGAATACCAACAATCATGACTTTTTCCACCCATGATTTAGAACTGAAATCTTTACAATGTAAACATTTTGAGATCAATTGGTTGTTGATGTATTCATATTCAACGTAGATAAAGTGTCCATCCCGGTATTCAAAACTTTCCTCATCATCAATATACAATGATCCCTTAGCGATAGCTTTCAGGTCAATTGCTACAATTAAAGTGTATGGGTCGTCCTTCATTAAGACTGATGATCGGCGAACACGTTGCTTAGTAGGAACTATTGTACCACCGCGTTGATACACAGGCACCTTGTTGATTGGCGCTTGTATTTTCATCAGCCCATTAGTTTTGATTGTTTGGTAAGTATCTCTATCATACCATATTTCTTCGTGACCAGGGAAATAACAAGTCAACTCTTGTACATTTTGATCTAATACAGGACACACCAACAAGATATCACCAACCATAAATTCATTGTCGATGTTGTTCAGTTGTTCTTCATGAGGAAACTCAAAAAATAATGGCCGTATAACAGGTGCTCCGGTTACTTCATGGTTTTTAAACAACGAGTACCACAGTGGTAACAATGTATATCTTGTTCTGATAGCATCACGGATCAAAAATGTAGTCTGTTCATCAAATAACCACGGTTCTCGACGTTTTGTATCTATGTGAGCATGACTTCTGAAAAAAGGCAAAAAGGCACCAGTTTGGTACCATCGGATAAGTAATTCTTTATCAGGGTTATTAAAGAATCCGCCCACATCTGCACCGCAAAATGATATACCCGAAATTGCCAATGAGAGACACATTGGTAAAGATATTTTTAAATGACTCCAGTCAGCCATATTATCACCAGTCCACACAGCAGCAAAACGTTGTGTACCAGCAAAATGAGATCGGGTCAAAATAAATGGTCGTTTTTTGCCATTTGATCGTTTTAGTAGACCTTCATATGTGCTCATGACTTGCAACAGTCCATAAATGTTATGTATGTCTCTGTGTTCATAACCACCATGATGAATACAATCCTTTGGCATGGTTACTTCTGGTCCATTGAAAACAGAAGGTTCATTCATATCATTCCATATAAAAATGTCCTCTGTAGGACCGACAAAATTATCAATAGAATAACGAGAAGCATAATAATCTTGTACTTTAGGGTTCATGAAGTCCAAATAACTAGAAGACCCTGGCCAACACCAACCTTCGTACACGTCACCATCTTTATTCTTCACATATAAATCATTATTGATTGCATCATTGTGAAGAAAGTAGTTGGAATCACGTTTGATATGTGGATCAATAATAGTCACTAACTTTCTTCCTCTGCTAGTTAAATTATTAACCATTTCTAAAGGTTCAGAGAATTTAACTGGATCCCAGGTAAAATATTTTTTACTATCTGTATACTCAATATCTAACCACATGACATCCATAGGTATGTCGTTGACATCAAAATTTGTTTCTACATCGTGGACATCTTTTTGGTCATTGTAATTCCATCGGCACTGATGGTAAGCCAAAGAAAATAGTGGAGGTAATGGAGTGGTTCCTGTTAGTGAAGAATATTGTCTGGTTACATCCAGAGGTTTAGGACCCAACATAATGAAAAAATCAATGATGCCACATTCAGAAATAAAATGAGCTCTGGGAATGTCTTTTTCAGTAGACGATCCTGAAACTAAATTAACTATGGATTCCACAACTGATGTGTGTTCTGTGTTTCCTTTTACACCTGCAATATCTACCCATGTTTCAGCAGCATTCAACCAAAACACCCCGACACTGTTCTTTTTTCCATGTCCCATTAAAAATGGAACAGCTCCGTATAATCCCATTCCATTGTACAATTCATACTCAAAAACATCCAAATTATAAAATCGATACGGATCATTCCCAGTGGTACCTTTGAGAGCTAAACTGTCAGCATGTTCTGGCAGTCCATATAGAGAAGTAGACGAATATAATTTGAAGTCCATTGAAACTGCTGAAGGTCCACGTGGCTTAGAATCCTGATGTTCCTTAAAATATTCTTCCCACGACCCTATTTCATTATCTGCAATAGATTCTGGTTTAGGCCTATAGTGTTCAAATTGCATTAGATTATCATGGTTCACCCCTATGGTCAACTCTTCGTTAACATAAACATCCAATTTAAATGGGGCTATTGTGATATACACCTTAATAATTTTACTCAATTCTAATTCGACAGTTGATGCATTTCGAGCCATAATCATTGACTCTGTAATTGGTTCAGATACAAGAGCATGCACTGGTTGAAACCTGTTATACATTTGATTCCCGTCTTTGTTGATGCGAAGACGAAGTGTACTATCCTTCAGACCATCCAGCCGCATTCGTAATGAAACATCATCATAGTTTGTATTTGATATCAATGCTTCGAAGTATTTATCCGTCAATAGAACACTGTCTGGCACTAGTTCAAAAGCGGTTTTTTGGTTTTTGTTCATGGAGCGACAACGCTTACAAAAGTTACTTTGTTCGCATGTTTTAAAATTACCACGGTCAACCGAATATACGGTTGAACCAATAATACATACCAAAAAAAGTATTACGTGCAGGAAACTACTCATTTTATACATAAACGTGTATGACAGGTTTACTATTAATTATGCAATTTTAAGTTAACAGAACACACATTGACATTGTCTTAAAACAAAAAACGTTATTGTTGTTTAAGTCAATTTGAAAATGGTTTATACCGAGCTAGGTAGTTGTAAGACTTGACATTAATATTATAAGTATTATTATGGTTTAAGAAAAAAGTAAAAAACAAATCGTAGTATTCGAACACTTGATACTTATCTCGGTACTCGGTCGTCACTACTCACTAACACGATTTAACTATTTAAGCATGTTGTAAAATGTTTTGTGGAACTACAGATATTGCACCGTAATCACTTGCGATTTGTACACTATGTCACTATAATATAATAATAATACGAATAATATGACTACTATAAAAAAGGTCTAAAAGTAAAAAAGACTTCATTATCATTAATTATCAAATTATTATTATTATTGCAGGACGCCTTCAGTAGTATCATAATTCATAGAACAATGTATTTCATACTACTACAGGCCACAGCTTACTAACAACCTTAGATCATATACTATGGATGGAGCCACTGCATATTATTTTGAAGCCGATATTAGCGACGAGTCACCGAATTAGGTGATCGATATGCGCATGCGCGAAACAACTCGTCGCATAATTATCCATAGATTACTATCACCACAAATAATAATAATAATCATTAATTCATTACCTATCGGCTACGGTAAATTTATTATTTTATATCTTACTTCTTACTTCGTAGCTAGTATTTTCGCTTAAAAGTTAATACTTATTTTATTTTGTTATTTTACTAATTAGTAATTATTATATTATCATAGTAGGTACCTATTGGCTATTATACCATTTATTTTTTAAAATATATAATTGTTAAAACATGGTAGTCATTGAATTGTTTGTCATAATATTATTTATTTGAATCATTTTACTATTTTCATCATTATTATTATAATAATTAATAACAAATAAAAACAAAATTGTGATTACAATATCAACAATTAGAAAATTTATTGGTTATGGAATAAAATTTGTTTTGTATAGTTATGCCTTATGTTACGACCACTAATTGCAAAAGTATGTGATTTCGCAAAGTGGTGGAGTCTCAGGGTAATATAACAATCAACTATTAATTTTAGTAGCTGGCTACGGTGATTATCTAACAGATCTTGTTGTAATATGTGCTCTTTTATTTCTTTTGAATTGAATATGGTGTTGTCAGAGCTCAATTCATTCAATGCTTTTAAAGATAATATTAATTTAATATTTTTTTTCCTCAATAAATCTTCATTACATATTCTAATTATATATTCTGTCACTAAACATGTTTTGTGAACATCGGAAGATACGTTTATTAATTTCCCTCTATTTTTTAGCTGAAACAACTTTGAAGAATTTTGATTGTTATTATCATCAACTGTTAGAAATGAATCACATGTCTTACAAAGTGCCTTATTTTTTTGAATCTTTCGTACAATGAAGCCACTTGTGTAGTGTACGACATCCACCACATATTCTTCTAGCTCAGGCATATGGTAACAATTATAATCATGATCAAATTCATCAAATAAAATTTGCTCCTCAACGTCGATTTCAGTGTAAATAGCGTCTGCGTCTGTCCTTTTGCTTGCACTAACATAAAGTATATTAGAAGTATCAAGTGGCGAACAATTAGCATAAACTGAACCTTCTATATTATGTCGAACCAACAAACGCTTGTAAGCGGATCTGAATTGTATCACATTCGGGTTGTTATTAAATCCGCCTCTGCTTCTCATAGCACTAAAAAATATCTCAATATGATCTTGGCTAAGCTTATAAGTCAATAAAAATGACATTCTTTCCTTTTGTAACTCTTCAAATAAATTTATTGTATTAGTAAGACATATGATGAGACCTAAAAACCCAGTTTTTCTTTGGCTTTTTAATACCAGTTCTCCTTCTGAATTTGTTGTTAATGGTTCAAATTTTAGACCCTCAATATATAATTTGAATTGTTCAAGAAATTGCTTAGCTTTAAAAACAGTTTCTTCATTTATTGGAAAAGCATAATCAGAAGTCAGATAGTCAGAAGTTGGGGAGAAATTAAACCAAGGCTTAAAGTTTTCAGAATAATAATCAAAATTGGCTCCCATTATTTTGCACATAGACATATTTGATGATGCTCCGTCAAAAGTGATTGAATAACACTTTGCTCCTGTTTCTGCAAACAATTCTAAACATTTTGTTAAGAGGTTGGCTCGTTCAGTTCCGGTAAGACTATGGATCAAAAAGTATCCTAATGGAATCTTCCAATGTCCATTTATACAAGTCGCTAAAAAAACTAAAGCATTACTAGCTTCTTGAACATTATCTGTAATGTTTTCAGCACCGGTCCCTAAATCGACTCCTCCATAAAATTTTCCATTCAAAAATACAACTTGTTTCCGAATGGCCATTTCGTCCAGAGCTATGTTGCAAATTATGGGATTTGGCGAATGTTCTACTTTGGATTTTATGGCCTGAAAAGCTTCATTTGTGAAACCAGGTTCACCTCCGACAACAGAATACCATTTTTTCAATGTAGCTGGATGAGGCAATAACTTTCCGAATGTTTTCCTAACAAAAAAGTAAGCTTTAGCTGAATAAAATTGCAATGTTAAAGCAAAGGAACGTATTTCTTGTGAAAATTTAGCATTTCTTGATCGAAGACTTCTGTTCAAAATTTGTTTTATTGTATCAGAAGTTTGATTCTGTAAAGTAATTAATTAAAAATAAATATATTTTCATAACTAATTATACTTTTATTTACCATCACCTCCATGTAACTTGTTATAATTGTCATTACCGTTACCTTAACATTAGCAAAATATAAAACTATTTAAAAAAAATAAATCACTTACAACAAAATAGTCATTAATCACTGTATACATGTAGTAGCAATATGTACTGCTTGCATCTAGTAAATCGTGCACTTCACTTCTTTAATTTGTGTAGTGAGTGGATATTAGTTGGCAAAAAAAACAAATACAGTAATATAAAATGATTAAGTACAAACATATACTGTTTTTAGTAACGAATAATTATTTTGATACTTTTCAACATAGAGTATTTTTTAAGGTATTTTAAACACACACACAAATTAATTTTCAACATAACCCAAAAATTGTTAATAACAACATGCATAAACTTTATTGAACTTTCAGATATGTTATTTAGATTATTAAGATTATGGACTTACAAAAAATTTAACAAATACATTAATTGAAGAACTTTTTCCATTTCTGTGTGTAAGGTGGACTAACTCGATCAGAATTATTTTTATAGAAATAGATGACATTAGGTACATAAAACCATATTGTTGTAACATTTAAACTCTCGGACACTTAAACCATGACAAGTAGAATAAATATACACACAACAATCTTCATAAATAATTAATACCAATATCGAATCATGAGCTTCTTCAGTGAGAAGGTTTGTTGATTTTAAATGCTTTAAAAGCGCTTCTAAAGATGACAATTTATTTTTTTGCCGTCTAATGGTTTGATTTAGAACTTTAATATTATTTCTTTGAACCATGACCTGAAGCTTAGCCCTGTTGAAATGCCTTTTAGCTCTCCTTGGGGTGGCAAGGTCAGGTGTTTTAATATCACCAACAAAGCATTTTCTTTTTTTATGAGTAGGTGTATCAATTACTAAATAACAAATATATATAATTAATTGAGAAAGAAAGAAGTTAGTAACATTTATTAGTTACCTTCAGTATTACTAGTAATCAAAATTGGTGATGATGGCTCCTCAGACATAATTTTATCTGGACTCAAGTCGAGTTTGCGTTTTTGAATTTCTAAAATTATAAGAAAATTGATTTAAATTAGTGATTTATATTGAAATAAAATAAAATAAACTTAAAAGAATAAAGATAATCATAAGAGAAAGATATTTTACAATAGGCTATCTCTACATTTAAACAAGGCCATAGGTGATTTAAATAGGAAATTTAAAAAAATTCATTGTTACCATAAGCATTATGCAGAAATTAAATTAAATAACTACATAGTATTTGTATTACCTGCTGAATTGTCAATGGAAGAGGTAGGTTGTACTGGAATTAAATCATGAACCCTAGGTGTGGAAGGAGCATTTACTGTTTCATTACACTTTCTAGACAACATTTTTAATATACAAAAAAACAATTAGGTACAAGTGTTTATAGTAGAATATGAGTTACTTAATACATAATATATTAATACAAACAATACCTAATAATTTAACTAACTTTTTAATATGCAAAGTAGGAACTGAGCCACGCTTCAGAACATTTTTATTTAATCCAGTATAGCAATTTTTTTCAAAATGAACTGAACATAGTTTACGCTTAGGATAAATGTCTGATTCACTAAATCCACAGGCCTCCATCCATTTTAGCCGTAAAGCTTGGTCTTTAGGAAAACTAAAAATTTTTAAAACATCATAATTACTTAACACTCAAACTTCTTTTAGATTCTGAGCGGAGCGATTAATGTATTGGTTTTACAATGATGTGTGTTTTTTTTTTTATTTTTTATTTTTTTTTGTGTCATCTATTTGGTACTTGGGGGGGGGGGGGGGGTCAAAAGTAAACTTAAATTTAAAACAAAGATTCTCATAAATAATTCATACTGTAGGTAACCGAAAAATTTAAAAAATATATGAACACATTTATTTTTTACAGACATTTTAAATTCAAATTTGGACGAAATTACATATTAAAACCAAGAATAACGATTTAAGTTTTTTTGTTATAATTTAAAAATATTATTTGTTGGTATGTGAAACTTATAGAGTAAATTGTTATACTTTTATATACATGTAATGACATTTTAAAATGTAATTTTTTTGGGAAAAATGAATTTAACCAACTATAGTAAACACTAATGCCTAAAACTAAAATTAATTACTTTATTCACAATATAATCCACCTTTTTTTACTAATTTACTTACTTATGTAAAGATAAACCTGGATTCAACTTAATGGACCGTAAGCAAAATATACACGCATTATAATTATTCACTTTCTTACTCATGATTTATTATTTAAATTTTAAATATTTAATTATTTAATAACACTATGATTTCAAATTTCAATATTTCAATATTATAATCACCAGCTGATAAATATGCGAGAGGTTGCGTTGCGCATGCGCATATCGAACACCTAATTCGGTGACTCGTCGCTAATATCGGCTTCAACTTTTTGTATTGCTATAATATGCAGTGGCTCCATCCATAGTATATGATCTAAGCTAACAACAGGCAATAAACCTAACCTCAAAATATCCCGGTGTCAAAATTAAATTTATCTTTGTTTAATCCATGAAGACTATAATTTTGTTGATCGTGGTCTCATTTTGTTGACCAACAATCCATTATAATTTATAAAAATAGTTTTTTAAATAATGACTAATGAGTGTTTTAAATGTCAAATTAATCACCTGATACCATAGACCACTGCCTAAGCCCTAAAGCAATTAGTTCACGTTCATCTTGTTGAAAAGGAAGTAGGAACTAAATGGTTTCTCGTTCCTGCCTTAAATAATGTACTAGTACTCCATTTTACTACATTCCTAGTTCCTAAATAAAAAACATTTTCGTTTCTCAATAATTTTAAAATTGCTTTAATATATTTTGTAGGTAGTAAATAGTAATAAACTGTTTAATTATGTAGTTATTTTATTTTTAAAATGTTTATTTGTTATTTCATAATGCATACTGATTCGTATTAATACCCCACTGACTGACTTGAAATTTTGTAAACATTGTAATTATTATTGTATATTGACATATTCTATTATTATTTTTACACAATTTTTCTTTGTAAGCATTTGATGTTCGAATTTTTACAAAATTTAATAAATATTTTGTAAAATATTCAACTTTTCAACTCCTTAATGATTGAAAATTTAAAACAAGTTTCCACGGAAATAGATAAATAAATTACTTTATTCACAATAATACCATATTACCATCAAATGTACTTAATAATATCATAGGCTGACTGACTAGTGACTACCTTAGCTCAGAATCGTTTTTCTTATACAATGATAAATGATAATATATCATTGAATTCAAATGTAACATCATCCATTACAGTTATCCACTTGTAATCCAATGTACAGCAGACAGACACTCACTTTCCCACATTTTTAAATTTTAAATTTAATAAATGCTGTCAAAAATCAAATTTTAAGTGCTTATAAAAAAATATGTTGCCTAGTGTTTTTAATATTTTTTAACTGCCATTGTCACACTATAGCAGAAGCCTTGTTCGATTTTGCGTAAAATTTCATAGTTTTCCTTAATTTTTTTTTTTGTTTTTTCCAGTCCCCTTGAAAACCTGGGAATTTTAAATTTTAACATTCAAAATGCACTGACTAGATTAACTTTCTTAGTTTCACATCAAACTAAAATTGTGTACTAAAAAAAAAATTTTTTTCATTTTTTTCAACAATTGAAGATAGCTATTTTAAAGGGTTAATTTTAGTGAAAATTTTGACTTTTCAACAGTTAATTTTCATTTATCTCATTGAAAATATTTAAAAGCATTTTATTTATCAAGGAATTATTAATCAATATTAGGAGCTTAAACGTCCACTACTACTACAGTTTTTATATTATGTCGTATTCTATTAAAATATTAAATGCATTGTCGCATTGAGCCAATCACATATTATTAATCTAATATTTTATAAGTTAAAACTTTAATTTAATTTTAATTTTTAATGTTTAACTACTGGCCAAGA